TTTTAAACGCGTGATTATAGAATCTAAATATTGTAATATGATCGCGATACTAAGGCTATTTCGAATTTATATTTGTTTACAGTTGTTTGATATTTATGTAGACGGAAAGGACGATTTTACTAAAATACTTAAATTAAAACTAGCTAAATACAAATCTGAAAATAATTTTGTTGTATCTTCGAATTAGGACAGTATGAAGTAAAAATGGGCGACAAATATTCAAATGAGTGAAGAGGACTATATTTGATCAAGGTGGATCTTGATGCTTAATAACATTTTTATGTTAGTTATGGAGGACGCTCAAACTAGAATGTCAAAACTTTTTGCAGCATTGCTCATTATGCTTAAGGTTTCTACGTAATTATTTTGATGGTTAACAAAATTATTTTTAAATTTGTAACTAAATTTTTAGATATTTTACTAAAATTATTCTTTTCATAATTTAATACAAATTCTCTGCGAATTTTTTTATGAATTATAGATCAAATAATGCATCGGGTGCTTCATTCATAAATTGCTGAACATTAAAACCAGTCTGAAAGCTTTCGATGCAGATTTCCACGTTGTTGATCAATCATTTTGTGTGTGTGTGTGTGTGTTTATGTGTGTAGGTACACATGACGCAATTCCGAATCACCGACGACCGTCGTACTAAATGCGTTAGCGTGTATTTGCCAACTAGTTAAACGGCTGCTGATATTTGCTTCTGGGACCTTGAAGTGCATTCGAGTGTACGCAACACGACGAGATAATCACCGGTTCTTGCTAATGACCTGCAAATGAATCCGGTCACTAGATCATACGGGCCTCAAGAAGGGAGACGAAAAATTAATTTGTGTCATAAACCGACATTCTTGCTCTCGTTCGCAATACATTAACACAATACGGTCCACGTCAGAGATTTATGCAAATCGATTCTATTGCCTGTACGTGAATTTCTTACATAACGTAAGAAATCAAGTTTTCTGATCATTGTGTTCACGTAACGCTGCTTGATTAAAAATAAAAATTTTTTTCACGTGTTTTACGTATATCCGCGTATAGCTTTTTCTCTGCGTACAAATCCAATAAAACTCTATCTAATTGTATTTTTAAAACTAATGAAATTTATTCTATGCAAAAGTTTAAGTCTTCTGCTTTACATTTTCTGAATTTTTTTACACATACCGTTCCATTAGTTTTTCAACATTAGTTTGCATGAGAATGCCTGAAAATTTATGGCTCCTGGTGAGCGCGCTTTTTCCCCTATGTAGCGATGTAGAAAGGGTGTAACTTGCGAGACACGATAAGAATTGTTGCACATCCAGAAAAGTACCTCCGGGCAAACAGAGTTCATCCGAGAATATAAAAGACTCCATTTAAAAATTGAGATGCTGTGAGTTCCGAGCTCACCAAACGAATTCATGATATCACTAAATGTTTTCACGTGCTCAGAAATTTTGAATTTTAAAAAATGTATTTTTCCGAGCAACAAATAAAGAAAACAATTTATTATATAAATATGCAACAATGAATCTTTTATACAAAAAAACATACTAAATTATATATCTTCACATCAATCTTTTATGAATTTAAAAATAATATTGAAAGCTATTTTAATATTAAATTATAATTAAAATTTTAAGAAAAACATTTCCGAATTTTAAAATATTATTTTTGTATACTATCATTTTTTAAGATCAAACAAAATTTTTGAATCTCCGTCAACTGAAAACAGTTTCTTGCCATAAGTGCTTTCACAAGATTGTCGTTGCACCGTCAGACATAGTCAGGTAGCGATATAGTTTATTCGTGATTCTTGTGTTGACAACCGACAAATCGCGAGATTATATCTATAGCGTATGTTGTTCAAATGTGGCCCGTTTGTCATACAGATACAAGAACTGGCGTACTCACGTTTATTCCCATGCGGCCGTTTCCTTTTATTCCGCTTTGTATTCCCGCTGTAGTTTCAAGTGTGTCTAAATTTGCTAGAGACTCCATTCGTACTCTCAGTGACGCAGTAAACGCGATTTCGATTCATTCGCCTCGCTACAACATCGAGTTAATCCCTCGGGAAAACAACATTGAGAGAAACGTAAAAATGTTAGAAAACTTTGACCGAGACTCTAAAAATCTTTTTAACAATGATGTTCTTCACATATAATTTTCACAAAAGCATTGAATTTTTTAATTCACCATTCAGTCAGACATTCATAAAAATAATTCTACATTTTCCAAAAAAATATCTTAAAAATACATATTTATAAAATTTCAAAATAATTTAAAATAATCCTTTTTCTTTAATTATCATTTTTAAATTATTGTAAAATATACCTAGAGAAAGGTTTCTTCGATTCAAAGAAATGTTTCTTTGCTATACGGTTAAAGAAAAAATTTCTCTTTGATTTGAAAATAATTTTTTTAAATCAAATAAAAAACTTTATTTGATTTTAAAAAATTATGTTAATAATGAAAAATAATAAATCCTGTTTTCTGTCGCATTTTGATTCCAAATGACTATATACGAAATATCTGTTCCGTAATACATGCGATTGTCATCTCGATCCATTTATGAAGCTAATCGCACGATTTAGTAACCTTATACTGTGAGCATTTATAAAGTACGATGTTTCATACTATTTAACACTTGTCTCAATTGCATTCCAAGAAAAAATGTGAAGAACCCAAAGTGATGCGGCTACCTGCATTTACGAGCCTCAGTATAGGAATGACTGCGCAGTTTCCGCGCGTAAATATGACGCGTCGCTCGCCCGTCGCGTGAAAACTAACCCCAAGGCCGCGCGCTGTCTAAATATTAACACATATTACGAAATAAGTAAAATAATCATTATATTTTTAATATTCTTCAACGAATAATAAATAGGCTTTATTGCACGATTTTTGCATTATTTCTTAGATTCGTTACACAGATATTTCAATTGTGTTACAATGAGCGATTATTAGTTTGTAATAACTTCATATTACACGAAATCCGTGCAATGTTTTGAATAAAAGATTGACGCATTGCGACCTTTTGTTACTTTTGAATTGTTTAAGTCTATCATTCACGTCTTATTTCTCATTCTTAATCTGGGAAAAATAATAAATAAATAAATAATCTAAAGTAAATGCGAAAATATTTTTATATTCACCCTCTAGTATAATTAACAATAGTGTAAATACTATAAATAACTGCACTTTTGAGAAGTCAACGGAAAACTGACGGTTATTGTGTACCTTTATGTGAACTGAAAAGCACATCAGAGAACATTGTTAAGCGAATCGGATTCTCTTTTCACAGCGAGATTCCTAATTCTGACAAATCGCGACGATGCCTTCTTGAGTACACTTCCGGAATCTTTAAACCACAAAAGATTTACTTTGGATTTTCGTCCCGTGTCTCATGTTTCCTTTCGCGATGCGCGAGAGGATACCTTGTATCGGAGATTTTATCTCGACGTTCATCGGCGTCTTACCCTCTCCGTTCTCATTATCTGACAGCGACGTCTTAATAGCGCGAATTTAGCGAAAATTTGGAGAGCTGTCCTCGTAAGAGCGACTATCGATGGTAAACTCTGACGACGTGCGATAAAATGCTTTCTCCTCTCCATAAACGTCTCGCGTTATCATCGTTAGCGTCCTCATCCGTCGTTCCGCGTCATTATCCACCGCCCGATACTTTAAACTGCAGCACACCTGCTGTAGGAAGCGAGATTCACCGTCGACTCAGATTATTCTCTTCCTACTCTCTCTATGCTCTCACTTAAAATCTTATCTTGCGGTTGGAATTAGAGCCTAAGTACTCTCTTCCGTCGTTTCTTATGCAGGAGGTAATTTAGTTTTTTTTTTTAAATTGTCGATAAATCGTTTCTGTATTAAGCTAAAAATAATAATAGTAATTCGTGTCTTGCAACATTAATTTTAAAAAATTATTCTTTATCAGCACGTTTTTAAAAAGTTTAAAAATTTATATATGGTGATTTTAATATTTGAGGTAAACAGAAGTAACGAAGTGTAATTTTATTTATCGAATCTCGAAGTGAATTAGGTGCGCTGGAGATATATGCTTCATTCGGAGGACATGAGCCTGCATATCGAACCTTTTCACTAGCGCGTCCAAGTTCCACTCAATTTAGTCGGTGAATGTCTCCGCGTAATGGAAGGAAAAGACCCTCTCGGCGAAATGTCGAAGTTCAACTACCGCATCTACCCTATACATGTTGTGCACCAGATACGCATCTCCTTGTCATTGTGCCTAGCTCTTACCTACATGCATTGCACGATTCGATGATACTCATTGGCATATAATGCAATTTCTTTGTGGTACGTGTGGATGTTTCGTCTCATTCCCTGTCGATATCTCGGTTTTATTTGCGATTAAAAACGATAAACTTCTCGTTTAATAATAAATATATTTTGGGAATCTGTCTTTTATAATATTTGCTTAACTTTCACATAATATCTAATTTTGAATATCGAGATATTGCGAAACTAATTGCAAAGTTATGAATTATTCTAAATCATAATTTAATCGGTTATAGCAAAATTAAATCAACTAACAATCTATAATTCACACGCGTATTATACTAGAATATACATGAAATTATAAATAGAATTCTGTTCTGACATAAATTATAGAGTATCTATATGAAATTATAAATAGAATTCTATCTTGAATTCTGACGAATTATGAACTGTCTAAAGTTGCGCTTAATTAATAATCCTAAACTAAATTCAGATGATGAATTTAGATAATATAATCCAAAATAGTAACTTTAATTAAATTTCCTGCCCTCTGCCTTCCATGACACCAGTTGTTTCACTGTAAGGAATTGATGCGGCTACTAAAATACTAATACCGGCACGGCGCAAGGTGCTCGAAGCATTCGAAACTGTATGTCATCAGACGACCGCTTTTAATTAAATTTTTATTCACTGCCATAACACGCTCGCATATTCAATAACTAACTTCGATACAGCGGAGTGAATTGTTTTATGTGGAACAATTTATTTTGCAGCTGGAGCCGCTCCTGAGGAAACTAACCAAAGGTCCAGTTCTGCACACAATCGCCACTCTCTCACGAAGGGTAAGTTCTACGAACACAATTGATTGCATTTAGGGTATTTTCATTTGTTGTAATAGAATACTACAATTTATCGAGCCGAAAGGATCGCCACATTGTATCTCAAAATACACAATTAAATGATTTGCTATTCTTAGCAACAAGCATGAATAAAAGCTCTAAAGCTATTTAATAAATAATTCTTAATTTCCTAAATTTCCGTATAAAATTATGTTAAAGAAATACCTTTGTTATGAAAATGATATAATGCGGTGTTTTTCGTGCTCTAAAATTTAATTTAATTTTTTCTCTTTTTTTCTTATCTATCTTGTAATATAACCTGACTGATTTTCGAAACTCTAAAGCGCTGACTTGAGAACTTTTTATTACTTCGTAGCAAGTGTGATGCTCGATGTGATACTTCTCACGGTGGCTTTTTGACATTTACACGGCGGATTTGAACACGGTGCACTTTTTAATATCGCACTTCGTATCTCTCGACATTTCCGTGATGCTTCAAAGCACAGCTTGATCATTTATTTGTGATATAAATAGTGACACAGACATATGTACATACAAATATATATACAGGTCAATATTTATTGGAGAAGCTTGAAAGACATTTGACATTTCGAGCATGTACTTTCAAAACGCAGAGGTACGATCGAATTGCTCAAAGTATTCACTTAGTTAGATTTTTTACATATTAAATTTATCAGTATAAACGCTACGTTTAACATAAATTATACTAATTTGAATAGTAATAATATCAAATAATCTGCTTCATAAAATTCCTCAATTCGTTCATTTAAAAAATGATTAAAACCGCTTTACAAAATTATACGAGAATAATCAGAATTTGTCAAATATTTTGCGTACATGGAAAGAATGATTTTGTGTGCTTAAATATTATAAAGTTAGCTAAATACAGATTCGCAAATATTTTTTTTTATCTATCAAAATAATTATGTAGAGCGCTCAATCTGGTTGTCTAAATTTTTTACAGTATCATGCTTGAGTTTCTTATATAAATATGATGATTCAGCTAAATTTATTTTAATATTTTCTAGCTAGATTTTTAGATACTTTAACAAAATCGTTCTTTCCGTATAAATTCAAAATCTTTGTCGAATTCTCGTAAAAAATGTAGGTTGCTACATCACCGAGATATTCCACTGTCGATAACGATATTAATCTCGCGCGAGAAACCACGTAACTGCTTTCCAATCTGTGGTAGAACCGAGAGGTACTATCGAGATGAATCCGAAGTACGATCTCCGAGTCGCGGTAGATAACAAATGCAATTCTCCTAATCAAGAGGATTTAATAACGCTTCAAATGCAATCCGCGCTTTTGTGGGAGACACCGTCGCATTAGTTTAATCAATTGTGAAAAGCGTCCATGAAATTGCTAATAAGTCCTTTATGTGGCCGGAAAAATCGCGCGCGTGGTAATGCATAAAAATTTAATTCGAAAGAAGAGACGGCGATGCATAATTTATTATATGATTATGTAATTAAACACATCTCAGCATCTGGTATAATTAAATAACTAACAAGGTCCATGTCGAATATGAGTGTGTGCGTACGTGTAACTCGCACCAGATAATTTATTACACGTACAATATATTAATTTATACTTGTGCAGTTGAAAGTTTAATGGAAAGTTTAATTTGTCTCTTATTTTAATAACGGATTTTATGAGAATAATGCGAAAGAAGAAAATGGGAAAATATTATCTAGGAAACACGTGTATGTCTTTCCTCAAGTTACTTTCTCTAGTTTACTTAAAAATTAATGAAGCACTTGCACAATATTTAAAGTGCCTTTGTTTAACTTAAAAGACAAAGAGAATTATCGAGGCTTTAAATTCGAAATATAAATATCGTCCGTGCTCAAGAAGCACGTTCGCTCGTTAAATTAAACACTAACATCCTAGAGCGTGAGAAATGAGAACAATTTCGATCGTTATCCACGGCCTTTATTAAAAATTTACCTACATAAAGTTACTCTACGCACGTCGAAAAAAAAAAGGTTTTTCTAAAAATTTATTTTAATAAGTACACGGAGAGAATTTTTTCTTAGAATTTACCTTGAAAATATGACAGTCGTGGGACAACATTGTATTTCAAAGAATTTTAGTGTAAAGCTTTCTCATTCATTAATATAACTACAATGAAGTGCATGATAAAAATCTTTAAAATATTCTATTGTGCCACAACTCTTCTCTCTCTACCATATTTTTAGGGTAAATTTTAAAAGAAAATTCTCCGTATAGTACAATAAACACAATTTATCTTGCATAAATTAGAAATTTATAAAATACGAGTATAAACTAAATATCAACAACAAATCATAAAAAATGAATAACTTAAAATACAAATTTTTCCAACATTTGTTCTTTTATATCGATTCATCCATCTGCAAATAAGAGATGGTGATTTATCTTTCCAATGATATATTTCTTCTCAGACATAATTCATATGAATATCTAGGCGTCACCCGACGCGGTAATTATCGCTTCAGCAAACATGAAAAACACAATCATCGATAAGAAAACCTCGTTACTCGCGGCAACACCTCATGGATCATTCGCATGACTTCAACTAGCGTATATCTATTCGCATTCTACATCGCCACTCGAGCAAGGTTGGCGAGATAGAACAGTCAAGTGAATGAATAGCGGATTCGAGAGGAAAAGCCGAGGAGGTGGAAAGAAGTAAAGGGAGAGAATTAGGAAGACAACCTCCACACAAAAGCGACGGATTCCATCAAGAGATGGAAGCGACGGATTCCATTGTTTTCCGACCCACTTCCAAGCGAAGGGAGATTAACAGAACTATGTGTATCCACTGGTGGATTTTCCAGCGTTTGAGCCTCCAAGACGACGATGACGAAGGTTATGACTGCAGCTGCATGATAGATAAACCACCGGTTCGAATGAGCGCATTCCTCCGGGCGACAGACTGCGACGGCTCACTGTATTTCATTTGTTAAAATGTCTCGGTTACCGCATTGTACCTATCCTTGCATCTCAAATTACGGATATGCAGCTGTAAATATTTTCGTCGCGAAAATCAGAATTTTAATGAATCTCTCTCTCTCATTGCCTAAAATATCGCATACTATATTCAGAAAGAACAATTTTGATGAAGTATCTGAAAATTTAAATATATACAGATCTGAAAATAATTTTGTTATACCATCAAAATAATTATGTAGGACGCTCAAACATAGTGAGCAATGCTGCAAAATGTTTTTAACAATCAGCATATATTCTAACGATTAGTTTGAGCAACATAATTATTTTGAAGGTCTAACAAAATTATTTTCAAATCTACATCTATAACTAAACTTTTAGATACTTTATTACAAAACCATTTTTTGCTCCTTCGGATTATTACTTATTTCGATCAATACAGCACGACCTTGCTGAGGCACTTCAAACCATATGATGAAATAAAAAAATAGCTCGATAAATAGGTTGCTTCGAAGGATGAACACTATTTTTGATCGCGGAATCCACTTATTATCAGAAAAATGAGAAAAAGTTGTAGCTCTAGCGGTGGAAAATATTTTTAATAAAATATAATTTAACATCTCTCAAAAATAAACTGCTTTTTGACAAAAAATCCCTCAAAACTAACCGTAACACCTATATATTTAATGCAATCGCATTGTTCTTCATGCGCTGTTCCGTTCCATTCGTCAAAGGCGAATGAATTAACGGCGACATTATGTGGAGGACAGCTTTCAGAGAGAGGGATGGATCGAGACGCATTGTGCGTTTCCGGATAACCAGGGAGATTAATAGCTCTAGGGATTACGTGCAATACCAAACAGTGCATCTACGTCCTCGAAAATAATGATTCAACGAGTATCTTTATCTTAACTCTGTCTTTAGAAGTTCCTTGTTTTCCACAGTCGAACAAGAAAAATCTTTTTGATCAGGATAATGGACGAAAGAGAAGAGATTTCTCTGACGCGCGCTTTGTAGCGAAGTTTTTTTCTTCCCACTCTTTTATCTGTAAGAATTACAATTGCATGTTATGCCCGCAGTATTCTGCATATATTATGTTAACATTGTTTATCCAATTGTAAAATGTCGATTCTTGATTAAATATAAGAATGCTGAAAATTGTTTTACTTATATTTTTAGACACACTGTTAAATTCATAACTTACTATTTATATCCAATTTGAATTTTTAATCATTTTTATACTGCTTCTTTTCAATATATTATTAATTTAACTAAAATATTAAACTTTAATAATTTAATTTTAAAAAATACACTAAATTTGATTTAAATTTAATTTATTATTTACTAAGTCCATATATTATGGACGTTGTTTACTTTGAAACTAACTTCAAAAATGATTTGATACACATGGAAGTTAGAAATAACAAAATAATATTTAACTCAAGGGATTTGGTTACCATTGCTTCTTTAATATTTAACAATCTTCAAAAAAAATTATTGGCGAATATGATGGCACATATGTGAGTAATAAAAAGTCACTACTTTAATAATTCACGATTTTGCAAATTTTTTCAATATAAAGTCCATTGATTTTCCCATAAATAGTTAAATAAATAGAGACGACGATATCAAACTTTCATACGGCGATTTTTTGCGAATCTCTCGACTTACTTTTCCTTTTTATTTTTAGAGCACTCCACTCAACTGTACTTGAGCGAGTATATCGAGTATTTCCCTAGTGATTCAATATGAATTCGTCTTCCAAATTACATTTACGTGCAAGTGACTCTCAACAGTTTCCTATCTTCGATAAAAGGAGAGCGAGTCTTATATTACTACCATACGTTATTTGAAAAATCCAAACGCTGTTTTCATCGGAGAGAATCCTCTTCTGCATGTTGCGACGTAATTCGATATTCGTGACGTCGCAAAATATCTTCTTTTCATATCATTCCCCGTAGTCTTCGGTATTTCATCTCTCACATTCTTTTTTTTTTCTCTTTCTCGTTCCCGTTCGATTCCGCGTCAGTATTACTAATGACATGTCCAATTACCATCAGAGATAGATGGTACCATTTCTTCCTTCTTTGTTCTCACACTCTTCCCTCCCATCTAGTATTTGTAATCAGTGGTAGGAAATAATATTGGCAGCTTGGCGGTCGTTTCCGTTAACACTTGTCGAAAACGGATCGCGAAGGATGAAAATAAGCCAGCTGCGTTGCAATTAACAAGCGTAGGGAAAAGTGGGATATATTGGATTTATGCAATATGGATGCAAAGCGAAAGACTTCACTGGCACCGATTGTATATACGTGAGATAACGAGGTGTCGATCAATATACCTCATCGCTCAACGAAAATGTAATTTCGAATATAGAAATTTAATGAATAACTTCATTACGCAGATACAGTTAGCAGTGTTTATTTATTGCAAAGTTTCAAAAGGCCACAGCATAATTAGATAGTATAATTTTAAGCAATTCTTTTCAGAGAAAATAATATCATTTAACAAGTGCTCAAATAAATTGCAGTATCATGTAACGTAAATATATGACACTCTGTCGTCATTAGGTAAACAATATACTAGAACCAGCTGGTGCTATCTACAGCAATGCACTTTGATATCATTGATCGTTAAACACATATCTTTCGCTGACAGTGATGGTAACGTTTATCACGCGAAGAGTATTACGAACCACGCGAACTTTATAACCCTCAGAGAATGTGTACACCATCAAATTTGTCTTCCGCAGAGCAAACGATGCACTGGTTCGCCCAGATTGGTGGTGACGACTCCCTCTCTTTGACAGGTATGCTCGGGTTGAGCTCAACGTGTTTCGATAACTTGTGTGACTTGTGTGCGGTACTTATCTCTTTGCAACATTGAGAGAATCGCTGTATTTACTGCAGTGATGCGGTAAACATCTAAAAGCGAGATTGCATTCCAACCCGTTTGCGTATTTGTGTGCGCAGAAACACTTCTTTTGAGATAATTGTTTATTACTATTGTTAAAGCGAAAAGTGATATGTATCATGATTTGTTTTGTTACCCAAGGGATTCCATATGATTTTGATGTGGTTAACGAAAGATTAACGTATCCCAATGCAATAATTTTAACATAATATTTTTGAAATCGAGATAATTTATATTTATATTATAACTAGAAAATGCTAAATAAATCTGTAAATAAATGCTAAAAATGTCTAATATCTATTGGTATTCGATTTTATATAACGAAGAGTGTGACAAATCCTGATGTGAATTCTATTTGCATTTCGATTTGCGCAAGGATCTAATTTAACTAACTGCAAGCATGAGAATTGAACAATATCATCTCTGAATGTGAAAAAAATATATAAATTTATATGAATATGAATCATGGAATGTTATTGAACGACAAGCCGCAGAATATAATATTGTTATAGAACATAATATTTCCCACTCGCGTTTATCGAGACTCTATAAGATATTGCTTTTGCTAGGCTATTTTTTAACAAAACTGCACTGAAAAAGTCTAGTTGCATTAATTGGAATTCTAGTTGAAAATAAACAAATCAGAATTTTTTTGTTGAATCTTATTATAATTTTAGTTGAAATAACAAGAACTCTGATATAATCAGAATCTTCTAGTTCGTTCATTTTCAATCAGAATTTTTCTCAGTGCGATGTTAAACGTTTTTATTTTTTGGTCGGCACGTACTATTTCGAAAGATATATAAAAATCGAGTTCATCCTGCAATGAATAACAACGCTAACGAGTTCTGTAATTTGACAATTGTGTAACGAAGTGCGTGTTCGACGAATAATGGTTAACGCTTTTCAGTTTGAAAACTAATCTTCTGATACATTTATAAATTTAATAAACGATATTGTAAAAAATTTATCGCTGTATATTAATATCGAGAATATTGTTGCATTCGCAAGTGAATTCTGTTTAAATGTAATAAATTAAATATAATGAGTTTACGCGTAAAAACGTTTTTTCTCTATGTCTTAAAAATGTTAAGCGGATATTATTTATTTTTCAAGTAACATATTTTTACAAATCCTGACGTTATTTTCTTACTGAACTGTCAGTATAATTTGACAGAATTTGTATAATATTAAATAAAATACTGAATATTATAACATTTTCTACACAATTTTCATTTTGATCCATGATTGATAATAATAAAATTGACTGATAAAATATGACGTTTTTCGCTAATGCGCAATTTTTAGCTCGCCTTGAGAGCTTCTTAGTGAATGCGGCTTACATTTTTAATATTCAATGAAAATGGGTTTTCTTTTCACATTATGATAAGCCCATTTTTTTATCGTATTTATAAAACTTATACCTACCTAAAGAGCAGATTTATTACACAGCTTTCTTTTTATAGTCTGATTAGCTTTTCCAAAGAAATTACAAAAGGCAGACGAAGATTACGATTTTTAAGGGGGTCACTCAATTAGATAAGCTTACTAGGCAAAGAAAAGCCATGAAAAGACAACGTTTTAATGTTCTTTATATGAACATTAAAAGAACTAGAATGGTCTATTATTTTAAATTTTATATTCCTTAGTTTTTAATTCCTTTAATAATTATTTTATTAATGAAATTTTGTATTTATGTACCAAAAGTTACCAGAACCTATCGATACTAACATCATCACGATTTATCCATTACTTTTCTTCGTTGCAACATCTGTCCACAATTTTGCGTTAACACGAACACTCACGTGCATGCAAACCATTCATTTTAACCGCGCGAGCACACATATGCTATATCACTATATATAGCATACCTTAATAACCATTTATTCATTCATTCATACATTCATTCATTCGTACGTGCTGTAGTCTTATTAATACTTGAATCTTACGTGTACACGCACATGTCTCGCTTTCTTCTTGGCAGATGTGAAGCGCCCGCGAAGTCTCTACGACGAGGACTCCCTCGATGGCGATCGTCCTTACGACAATGAAGGTACCAACGTTTTCAAGGGCACTGTACAGACCTTCCTTCTTTCTCCTCAGTATATTCTTCCTTTTTCGATAATACTAATAAGATATAGTAACACCTTTTAATGCTAACATTCATATCAGTCAACGAATAACGATGGCGGTTATTACCTATATTAATTTTGCATATCTATATGTTAACCTAATAATAAATAAACTCATTCGTGTGTTGAACATTATTTCTAATCGCGTCATGTATTTTACCATATTCTCTGATTAAATATTTCGTTTGTAAATAGCTATTTTATAGTTATGACTATCTTATTGTATTTTATATATATATATATATATATTCACCATCTGTTTTTTTTATTAAGATAAGATTAGCATATTCCTTTGATTATCTTATTCCCATACATATACATACACATACATATACATACCTGTCTTGTTATATAAATTATTTTTAATAATCAATTATTTGGGTATTTGATATTACTTACGATATGTTTATATTACATTTACTTTGAGAATTGTTTAAAATTTTACAATATTAATTTTCATTTGCAAACTTTCCCTTTTATTTGTGACTTACAATAATCTTTTATAATTTCGATTGTAAATTATCTCAATGTATTTAAATCTGCTTAACTTAAAATTTATATTATTAAATATATAATCGAGTAAAGCTGCGATTTAAAAACTTCTTCGTATGACATTCTAAAAAAAAGATGCATTGATCGCTAATCGAATTCACTTGTTTGTGAAAAACAATCGGCACAAACTAAGCATTTGCAATTAATTTTTGCAATTAGCAAGCAGATACTGAATATTTTTGTTTCGCGTGATTCGCAGGACGGGAGTCGACGGGAAGCACGAAGGACTTGGACAGGGCGAAGCTCGTCCGCGAGAGGCAGAACGAGGAGCGGCAGCGGAAATTGGAGGAGCTCAGGCAGCAGGCTCTCGCCGCGCAACGCTTCCGCGAACAGCGTGAGGAAGAGCGACGAAGACGCATCGATGAACTTAGATCGCGTGATAATGACAGGTTTGTCGATATAAAATCCCGCAATTAAGAGACTTTACAATTGATCCAATTGATAAATTAATTTGATTAATTTTAAATAAAGAATTTAAAGAACAAATTTGCAAATCCTTTTCCGCTTAAATTACGTGTATCTTGATATTTTGTTGAAAGGAATTAATACATCTATACATAAAATAGCAAATGATCTAGTATCTCTCTTATTTGTAAAAAGTTTCATGTGTATAATTATATGTTTTTTCTTGTACACTAGAACTCTCTTTCTCGCTTTCGCCAAATATCAAACATATACTTATCTCACTTTAAGTTTCAAAAGCATGTTCTAGCTCATTCACAGAAAACAGACTTTATGTCTAAAATTATGTTCTTTTTATAATTATATTTCGTCGCTTTTTTTTATACAGACGAAATCAAGTCGAAGAGAGAAAACGGCTGATATGCGAGGCGGAGCGAGAGAGACGGGAGGCTATCCTCCGTAAAAATCAGGAGAGAGAGGCACGCATCGAGGCAAAGAAGAGGAATGAGAGGTCGCACATCGTTTTCGCGTTTGGCAGCTCCACGCCGCGGATGCTGGAGCCCGCCG